AGAAGAGCCTCCTGTCCTGACTGGAGGAGCTCACCCAGCTGTGTCCTGAGAGGAGCCAGGGTATCGGTAACCTCCAGTTTACATCACAAAATAGAGGACTTCTGCAGGTCGGGTCTGAGATTCAGAACGAGCCCTCCGGGGAGGTGAAGTGGCCCTGCGACGCTGGACACAAGCAGGACCGTAGCCGGGTAGAAATCCGCCTCTCGGCTCAGAGGCGGCTCTGCTCACAAACACTGCTCGTTAACTCTGCCTGCAGGTCACGCTGGGACACGTCTGTGGTGACACGGCTGCTGCACGACCTGTGCTTACTCACTCTTGCATCACAGTGCATCAGCCAGTACAGGGACTAGTGAGCAGGAAGGGCCGCCTTAAGTCACAATTCTTGCCAACTGCCCGTGGGGAGACCAGGGGTTGGTAACAACATGGCGCCACTCACAGCTCCTGTTTCGCGCTTCGTCTGGGGGGGAGGGGGGGTTGTCCAGGTTTCATCTAGGACCCCAGTGGATTCGCCTCGTCGCCCGGCGCTGATGACGCTCTGAGAGATCGGCCTGCCGTTGCTCTCTGAAGAGTGCTGATTTGCTCGTTAGGAAAGGGAGATGAGAATCTCCACACGCACTGCGGATTCGCCAGCGTGACTGCAGACACCCCCACTCGCAGGAGAAGGTGGGGCCCCCTCTGGTCACCCCGTCCTGTCAGCTGCTGGATCAGTGTGTCCTTCAAGGCACAACAGGGTCGGGGCTCCCTGGACTGACTGGGGACCCCTGGACTGACGTGACAGGGGTCTCCCCAGGACCAGAGACCTCTGGCCTGGACTGGGGACCCCTGGGCTGACAGGACTAGGGTCTCCCCAGCACCAGAGACCCCTGGACTGGACTGGACTGGGATCTGCCCAGGACCAGAGACCCCTGGATTGGACTGGACTGGGGTCTCCCCAGCACCTGAGACCTCTGGCCTGGACTGGGGACCCCTGGGCTGACAGGACTAGGGTCTCCCCAACACCAGAGACCCCTGGACTGGACTGGACTGGACTGGGACCTGCCCAGGACTGGAGACTTTTATTTTCTTTTTTACAAATACATCCAGAATAAAAAAAGGAGAAAGAACTACCCAGCCTTATACCCGGTGTACCGGAACCAGCCGGTATGCCCAGATCCTGAAATACACGTTCGTACACCTGGACTGCGGGCCGTGTTCCTCAGGAGACAGCTAGCGCTGTGACGTTGTGAGAGATGGGGGGGGTTGTCCTGGGGGCGAAGACTCCCGATTGGGTGCCAATGTCATCTTGCCGTCTTGGGCAACAGCCACGACCACAGCCGCTTGCAGGTACGGTATGTGCATCGCTGGCAGGCCTGGGGCCGCGCGGAGCAGGAAATGACAAACACGGCTGAAATTCTTCCTTCGGCTTGCAGAGTTTCCCTGCTTGCATCACCCTGGAGCTCAGTCCTCTAAAACGGGGAACTGCCGTTGTCGTTCATCTGCCTTCCTCATCATCTTTATCATTATCATCCTCATCACTAATCCACCAGAGGTGACACTACTCTCACACTCACCCTGAACACACCAGCACACACACAGTCACACCTGACTGTACTGTAGACACTACTAGTGTCACTGCTGTCCCTCTCCTCTCACACTCACCCTGGACTCACCAGCACACACACACTGTCACACCTGACTGTACTGTAGACACTACTAGTGTCACTGCTGTCCCTCTCCTCTCACACTCACCCTGAACTCACCAGCACACACATACTGTCACACCTGACTGTACAGTAGACACTACGAGTGTCACTGCTGTCCCTCTCCTCTCACGCTCACCCTGGACTCACCAGCACAACGTTCAGAGAATCACAATTACCGTTTCTCTCTGTTGCTCGAGCACAATGGTGGAAACAGTATTTGCATAATCAGAATGGTCACACAGCTCCCAGAACTGAAACGTGTTGGCCAAATGACAAAAAAAAATCACAAAAAAATCACACAAAACTTTAGATAAGTTGCACAAAAGCAAACAACGCAATCGAACCAGTGACGAATACAGTAGCTCTTTGCAGCAGTCTCTTCAGACACCATCTTCAGAAAGACGTACAGCCGGGGCAGCACGTTATGTTACTGCGATAATCCCGTCACTGATAGTGTAACCATATGAAAGTGGGAATATTTCAGTCGCGCACAGCAGGCGTAAACGGATGTATTCACATTCTCAGAACTGAGACTGGAGAGGAAGAATCGGAGGTGGAAGGGTTTGATGTCCCGGTGATAACGTGTGGAAAAAAGTGACTGTAATTCTACTGTACAGTATGCACCGCACAGCCTGTAGTGAGCAGACACGCG